TCAAAGCCACGGGGCTAGGCTTTCTAGGCACTAAGGTCGTGGCTTGCTAGCTTAGGGTGCTGGGCTGCACACCATGGCTGCCTTGCTGCCCCTAGGTGTCGTGGCTGTGCATGCTAGCATGCCTGCCTAGCAGAGTACACCACGCTTTCTGGCGCCACACACATCTTAGCAAGCTACGCATGCTTGCGTGCATGCTGGTGCTGACAGCATGTGCTGGGCTTGCTGTGGCTCGCATGCCATGCTGCTCAGCATCACTTGCGGGCACCGACTCACAACACACGCATCTTTGACGCACATCCCATAGCACCAAGTGCAGCCTTGCACACACATCGTAGCAACATGCACATCGTAGCACCATGCACCACACTTGCACACACTAGCCCATCACGCACCTTGGCAGCCACATGTGGGCTGCTTGAGCAGCCCGGCTAGCCTAAGGGCGTGTCTTGGTCGATTTTGCCTCGATTTGCGTGCACTTGCCTCGGGATTTTAATTCCCGATTTATGTGTGATAAAAATTAATTCTAAATTTATTTTAAAACCAATTTAGAGAAAAATGAAAATAAAACAAGTCCAACTTAATTAAATTCAGTTTTAATAGTGCACAAGCCTAAATTATTCAAGAACCATTCTTTAAATCAATTTAGGTCTATCTTGATGCTACAAAATTGAAGGGCTACACTTATAATTAATTTACCAAATATAAATTAATAATGAGATTTGACAAAATTAAAGGGGTTGGAAAATTAAACCCTTTCATCCATTGAAAAAGTTTCCAACACTAACTTGTGTATAATTGAAAATTTACATCTTCCAATATGAAGATTAAATAAATTTCAATAACAAGTTTTGAACTTTTAGGACTTTAATCAACTCAAAAATGATTAAATCCAAAAATTAGTTCAACATGGAATTTAGCAATCAGAGTTCCAACCAATAAACAATTAAAGATTGGATCTTTATATTAGGGACTTAAAAATAATCAGTTCACCATAAACATTCACACTTGAAGCAATTTATTTGCAAAAATGTGAAAATTTCAAGTTTATGTGAAAAATGAACTCACCAAATTAAGCACCAATTATGACTTCATAAACATGCTTAATAAGGTTCATTATTGCAGTAGATTAGTGATGCAACCATACATTTAATCTACCTTTAACATGCCATAATTAATCAAGGTTTAAAGATTTAAAATTTTTTCGTCAAAAACGAAAAACCCCTCGAAAAACATGTTTCTGGGTGGATTTTGGCTTCTGGACAGCCCTCGGGCATGGGTCAAAAACAATTTAGAACATTGATTTCACCAAAAAATCACTATTTTTGAGTCGAAATCTGGGTTCGTTGGCCAAAATTAGTAAAACACGAGATTAAAACTAATTAAAATGAGCTTCTAATCTAATTAGAAAGCAAAACAAGAATTTAAATCTATTTTAAATCACCTCAATTAATTATTAGTTACAATAATTAAAATGAGCGCGGCTCCGATACCGCTGTTAGGTTTCGTAGCGTCCAACACTACGCGGAAGAGAAACCCGCCCAAGACCCGCCCACTAATTAAAGCAACTAAGCACGCAATCACATAATTAAACAACAAAAGAAAGAGAAAGGGAAATGACATTCTTACCCTCGACATGTGCTTCGCTCCTACAGAGCTCCAACTTCAAAGTCATAGCTCTGCAAGCGCGAGATCCTCTGACGGAGTCCACCCGCAAGATCCGACCCGAACGGCCTCTACCCCGAAGGTTAGTCGGGGCTAGACCAAGAAAAGACTTGAGTATTACGAACTTAAAGGTTTTCTCACCTATAGGGAGATGCCTTGTTGAGTTCAACTCAAGTGGTTTTTCTTAAACCCAAAACTTGGGTATTTATAGGGAAAGGAGAGTTTATCTCCATTCTCCCATCAATGTGGGAGAATTGCACTTTTCCACCAATTTATTTTAATAAAAAACAAATTAAAATGCAATGCAATCAACAAGCTCCAAGTGGCAAAGGGTGAGCAAGGGTAGGTGAGGTCCACTTGAAGGGGGGGGGGACCAAAATCCCCTTGATCCCCAAGCAAAGCCACCAAGCATCGGTCCCTACCAAAATCGTGGCTGACCTCACGCATGGCTGGCTAGCACCAAGGCTTGGCTTGCTGGCCAGTCTGTTATCGCATGCGCGCAGCAAGCCACACACGCATTGTGGGCTGCTGCTGCAATGCGTTGCGTGGCTGTTGCTTGGTGCTGCTACGCTAGCAAGCACACATAGCACACGCACACACAACACGCTGCTATGCTGCAAGTGCTTTGTGAGTGCGCTTCTTGGTGCGAAGCTGCGATAGGTTGGGGCTGCTTGGCTAGCAAGCATGCTCAGCCACACACACGCACGCATGGCTTACGATGCTGCGTGATGTGCCGTGCGATGCCAAGCATGCTGCGATGGCTGGTGCTGCTTGGCTAGCAAGCACGCACAACCATGCACGCATAGCCACATCACACACATTCGCATGATACGCAGCTTGCGATGCTCGTGCTGTGCGATGTGCGTGTGCTTAGCGATGCTTTGCTCGCTAGCATGTATGCGGTTGGTGCCCTCGCCTAGCCTAACACTCGCATGGTTAGGCCAATGCGATGTTACGGCTTGGCTCGTACTCGTCGCTTGCTTGATTTCTCGTCTTATCGAATTCTAAACTCGACTTGACTTATGACGCTCGATTTCGACGCTCCAAGCTCGATATCCGATATCTTTGTTCGTAATACTCTAACGACTCATTTAATCCTTCGGATTTATTCGTCGTCTCGGATCGGTTACTCGATTGGGCGTGACCCAAAGGGTTCAGTCATGATTAAGCTGTAATATTAATTACACATTAATACTACTGATTGGAAGTGGCCTCCACCTAGGCATTCCGATCACTTGACCTCACTGAAGAATTAGCTTTTTAATAATTCTGAACCCTCTACCGAAATAATACACTTGTTTGAATGACATCATTCCTTCACTTTAGTAGTATTTTTCACATATTTCCGTCGTCTAAATAATATTTAGTTTCTTAACTTGGTAATTGAGTAGAGCTCCTTGTGGATATGATAACTTGCTCGCTCTATACTTACAGTAATTGACCTGTACACTTGCGGTAGATTTAGGCTTGACCAAGTTTTTGGCGCTGTTGCCGGTGAGGCAATAATCAATATCATACCAAAGAAGCTTTCGTATTAGTTTAGACTTTATTTTATTTCTACTAGTATTAGACTATATTTTTTTTGTATAATTTCTGGTTTTTGTGTCGTTTAGAGTCTAAAAAAAATAAAAAAATTTCTTAGCTGCTACTATTTTTACTCTGTTTTCTGTGATTTGCAGTTTGAAAAAAATATTATGTTACTGCTATAATGCTTCTTCATCAGCAGTTCAGGAAAAAAAAAATTCTGCTTAATCTGATTTCTGTTTCAGTTTAGTACCATCTTCATATTTTGCTTTTTATTGCTATTGTTATTAGTGGATGCCACATATTAATCGTTCTTTAATCCCTAAAGTACGTTGCATGCGTTAAGGAGACTTCATATCTCTGAACAAGAATATGCCATTCCTAACTTGGAGTCACTTTTCTCAGAATCTATAAATATGGTAGAACCACCAGCATAGATGTTGCGTGAGTATGCAATGACCGATGCTAGTTCAACTTTTGCAAGTATAGTAAGACCTTCTATTCAAGCTAATAATTTTGAGCTTAAGCTTGCTTTAATTCATATAGTTCAGCAAGATCAGTTTGGGGGATCACCTATTGAATCTCCGTTAGAACATTTAGCTAATTTTCTTGAAAAATGTGATACTATTAAGCTAAATGGAGTAAGTGAAGACGCTATTAGAATTAGGTTGTTTTCATTTTCACTAAGAGATAAGGCAAGAAAATGGTTATCTTCTAAATCGTCTGATCCTTTCACTACTTGGACTTCTTTATCTCAAGCTTTTTTAAATAAATTTTCCCACCTGCTAAAACGGCTAAATTGCGTAATGATATTACTAATTTCACTCAAAATGATTTAGAGTCATTATATGAGTCTTGGGAAAGGTTTAAAGATTTGCAACATCAATGTGCTCACCATGGAATACCTGTTTGGCTACTTGTGAAAACTTTTTATAATGGCTTAAATCATTCTATTAGAAGTACTATACATGCTGCAGCAGGTGGTGCTTTAATGAGTAAGACTACATAATTATTAGAAGAACTTGCTTTTAATAATTATGGTTGTTCTAGTGAAAGATCTATTGCTAAAAAGAGTACAGGGATGTATGATGTGGATGGTATTAACATGTTAAATGCTAAGGTTGATAATTTGACTAAATTTTTTAGTAAAATGAGTAATGTTAGTCTTATTTCTAGTCCTAATTTGTCTTGTGATAATTATTGGGGTGCACATGCTAGTAATGGTTGTCCTAATTTTGAACAAGCTCAATTTGTTTCTAATTATAATCGATCACAAAATGACCCCTACTTTAATACTTATAACCCTGGCTAGAAGAACCATCCTAATTTTTCATGGAGAGATCAAGGAAACCAAGCTAATAATATTAGACCATAAAGTCTACCTGGTTTCCCACAAAGACAACAACAACCACAACAGGAGAGACCTTCATAGGAATTGGCTATTGAAAAACTTGCTAATGCTAATTCTGAGAGAATTATAAACTTGGAAAATAATTAGGTTGATCAATTAGCCAATGCAACTAAAAATATGGAAGTTCAAATAGGACAAATAGTTAATGTTATTAATTCTAGGAGTCAAGAAAGTTTTCCTAGTAAAACTGAGGTTAATCCTAAAGAACAATGTAACTCGGTCACCTTAAGAAATGGTAAACTCCTTGATGATGTAAATGTTCAATCTCAAACCAGAAAGATAGTAAGTGAAAATGCCAAGAATGAAATTGAAAAGCAACTTGAAGATAACAATGATGATTATTAATTATAAACCTGTTCCTATTAAGCCATATGTACCTCCAATTCCTTTTCCTCAAAGACTTATGCAGAACAAAGAGGATCATCAATTCAAGAAGTTTCTTAAAATGTTTAAACAATTGCATGTTAATATTCCCTTTGTTGATGCTTTGATGCAAATACCTTCTTATGCTAAATTTCTTGAGGAAATTATGGCTAAAAAGAAGATATTGGAAGACTATGAGACTATTGCTTTAAGTGAAGAATGTAGTGTTGTAATTCAACAAAAGCTTCCACCTAAATTGAAAGATCCTGGCAATTTTTCTATTCCTTTTATAGTTGGTGAGATAAATTTTTCTAGAGATTTATGTGACATAGGTGCAAGTGTCTCACTCATGCCATTGTCTATTTACAAGAAGCTAGGCTTAAATGATTTAAAATACACTACTGTTTCTTTGCAACTTGCTGTAGGTATATTAAATATCCTCTAGGAGTAGTGGAAAATGTGCTAATGAAAGTTGATAAGTTTATCATACCTGTTGATTCATTATTCTTAATATGGATGAGGATGTTAATGTCCCTATTATTTTAGGAAGACCATTTTTAGCTACTGCTGGTACTATAATTGATGTTAAAAATGGTAAACTAACTTTTAAAATTGGTGAGGAGGAGGTGCATTTCGATTTGTCTCAAGCAACAAAACACTCTCCTGTTTCTGATCATGTGTTTAGAGTTAATGAGATAACTGATTTAGATAGAAAATCAATAGATTTTGTTTCTGAAAATACCCTCGAAGTATGTCTAACAAGTGCAGGTACAACTCAAGATGAAAATGTAGACTTAATAGAGATTGCAAATGCTATTGAAGCATGCCCACCTTGGAAGAAAAGAGGTAATTCTGAAGTTTTAAAGGTAGCTAGCTTACAATACAAACCTTACTTGGTTGGTGAGATAGTGCAAGAGCTGGTGCCTAAAGAAGTGACTGATTTCTTAGAAGACCCTAGCTAAGAACATTCGTGGTAGTCAGGCTCGTGACTTAAAACACGCGCTACTTGGGAGGCAACCCAAGCTCTTTTCTTTCTTTCTTTTCTTTTTCATTTTTTAAGTTTTTAGTTTTTGTTTGTTTCTCTCATTCCTTTTTTTTTCTATCTATTTTTTTTTTTGGTTTCCCTTTGCTGTTCAGAGAATAAATAAGCTAGAATTGGACACTTCTAATTGAAGAAAAGAGACGAATAGTTCTGCTAGCTATAACCAGCACCTGGTAGTATTTGCCACTTCAGGGATGTGGTTGTTATGTGTCAACAGGTGTAGCTGCTTGCTGCCAATTTCAGCTGCTGTTTAGTTTGATATGCTGACCTCTTATACTCATATTCAGAGGTGCTGCTAAGATGTTCTGAGATGTTTATGCCGAAGGAACTAGCTTCAAATTTTGCTATCAGGTTGTCTCTTTCCTTGTTTTCTCTTTAACTGTTTTTAACATTCAACATAAGCAATTGATCCCCAATTTTCTGTGATCATTCCTAGTTATAACATTGAGGACAATGTTTGTCCTTAAGTGTGGGGGAGAGGTCATAAGAAATTTGTTCTAGTTTGTGCTACAAATGCTCGTTTTGCTTTAAATCTATACCTGGTTTCTTTGTGTTGCCATGTATGAAGCATGGCTGGTCTTTTGTGCAGGTTTTTACGAGGTTAAAAATTAGATATATATCTGTTTTAGGGGAAGTGCTGTCAAATTTTCTGCAGATTTTTCATGGATTAAAAAGAAAAAAAAAGTTTTGTTTTGATTGTCACTAATTGACTCATTTTGGAGCAATAAGAAAAAAATACATGGTATGTAAAGATAGCATAAGTCCTTCATTGACATTATTTGTGGTAAGATAAATTGCTTTTCCCTTATGCGATGAACCTTGAAAGGAGGGCCACGAACCTCGTAAGACTTAATTATCTACATATTTATCCTTTTTCTTGATTGCTCAAATTAGGTCTTGCATTTTAGCTTCCCGAGATAAAAGAACAAGGTGTATGAGAAATGATAAAGGCATTATTTTACTTTCATGATTTTAACCTTTAGAATTTAGGCTCACTCATATTTTTTTTCACTTTTACAATTTTTCCCTATTGCTTAGCCCTATTGTGCCATTTTATCCATCTTTTGGATAATCCTACATCCAAGCTTATGACCTTTACCTATGCCTTGCTAAATGGAGTAGAATGTTATTGAATTATGTCGTAAATATTGTAATAAAAACGGGAAATGAAAAAAAAAAGAAAAAAAAAAGAATAAGAAAGAAAGAAAATGAGCCCTAAAAGAGAAAAATGAAAAGAAGGGACGAAAAAAAAGAGCAAAAATATTGTATGAATGAAATTGTTTGAGAATGATGAATGTATGATGAAAAAAGAAGAAGAAGAAGAAGAAGAAGGAGTTATAGTTTAAAAATTGGAGTACGCTGATGATATATTGGTAAGCGTTGAATATGATCTTTATTTTTATAGGTTGTACTGTGTACTACTCTTTTAGCTTGACATTTTTACCACCACATTCGTAAATATTCACACCTTTAACCCTAGCCTCATTACAAACATATGAAAGTCCTTTTGATCTTTATATGCTATTGGTCTACAAATTGGTGGAGGTTTAGATTTTATGCAAGTCCTGACGAAGGTCATCAAACCGAAGAGAGGTATGAGCTAAAATGGTTGAGCATCCCTAGGGTGGATTCAAATATGAGGGAAAGAAGCAGTAAGAATGATTGGTTAATGAGGGTGCTAATTCTTGTTTCGTATCATACTTGATCCATTCTTGTTGATTATGACAATTAACATATGCTAAAATGAATTTGAATGTGAAATTCTTGATATGATCAATTATTATTTGCTCGTGAACTAGCAAATCTTAAGTGTGAGGGAGTTGATAAGCTCATATTATTCTATGTACTTTATTATATCGTTTTTATGCTATTTTAGAGTATAAATTATGTTTTTATATAGATTTTAAAGTCTAATTATGAAATTAGCTTTGTTTTTCTTAAATTGATGACTTTTAGGTAATTATATCCATAATATGCTAATTCATTATGTGAACAGGTTTATTGCAAGTTGGATAAAAAGAAAATCAGAAAGTGATTAGGGGATTTTTATCCATCAATCAGCATCTGACACGTGGACCAGCCAGATTCCGCCACGTGTCCTTCACGTAGGCCAATAGGAGCCTGCCACGTGTCAACCAGAGATACGTCCTCCATGGACCAATTGCGACGCGACACGTGTCCATCCATGCCAAATGGATAAATCAGCCAACAAGGCCCAATCTTTGGGGGAAGCCCAGTCAGCCTTAGGTTTAACCTAAACCTAGTAATGGCACGCATCCCAAGGCATATAAATATGCCCATTAATCCTCATTAAGGGGGATTACACACATTAAACACTCTCACCTAGAGAGACTAAATTACATTATTTTCCGTATTAATTACTCCTTAATCAAGTACTAACTTGACCGTTGGAGGCGGATCTCCAATCATCCGGAGTGTCCGTTTGTTTTGCAGGTACAGGCGTCCGGTTCCAGTCTCGGAATTGTAACTCTCCCGCAGGACATCAGAAAACCCCGAAACATTTTGGCGCCGTCTGTGGGGAGAGTAATTTTGAGATGGCATCCACGTCTGTACCGACTCCTGAAGAGAGGCGTCCCCTGGACGACCCTCAGGTTCAGTCGGACCATGATACTGAAGAAGAGTTTGAGGTTGAAGCTCATACAGCTTTCAGACGGGACCCTAAGGGCTCGGCGCACCCGTCATACCGAAAGAAGAGAACGGGAAGATCCTCAAACTGGACTCAGTGATCCAGTCGGCGCACCGCCTGTTCAGCAGCAGCCGACTGATGGGTCTGCTCCCATTACAGGGAACGAACTCATGACCTTCATGAGGGGCTTCAAGGGAGAGATTCAAGAGTTGCTCAACAAAAAGACGCCTGCTTTGGCCAAGGAGCAGTCGGTTAAGAAACCTTCCTCTTTAGGGAAGAGGAAGCCTGTTCAAGGGCGAGAGGCGACCCCTCATCCTAACTCTAGGAAGTGGGAGCCGCCTGCCCTTGATTTCACAAAGTACCGCTTTCCTACTCCAGGAAAGAGGAAGCCCGTACTTCATATACAGGCGGATGGGTCGAAGAAAACATACACAGACGCTCGGCTATTGCTAGAGCAGAAGAAGAAAGACCGACTGTCAGAGTCGGCCTCTACTTCGGATTTTCAAGAAAGTTTGCGCAATACCTCTATGAGGTATACTCAGTCACATCATGAGAGTCAGATAGGCGGTACCTCCCGTCAGTCTGGTTTTCATAGTGACCAGGCAGTACCAAACTTACCATTCGTACCGCAACAACAATATTTTCTGCAGCCACCTCTGTTTGGAGGACAGACGACAAAAAATGTCCAACCTATGGACTGGCAGCTACAGTTGCTTAGACTTGGGGAACATCCGTCGGCCTTCTCCAAGGAAATTACCGAAGCCGCTCAGCCGGCCAAAGTAAAAAATGTGTTAGTAGGCGCCTATGACGGCACTACTAACCCAGAAGATCATTTGATGGCATTCACCAACCTGATGTACCTTCAAGGGTTGGATGATCCAACTTGGTGCAAGTGTTTTCCAGCGACTCTTAAAGGAATTGCACAACAATGGTTTGGCAACCTGCCGACTGGTTGTGTGAATAACTTCAGGACGCTTGCTTACTTATTCACCTCCAACTTTGCCATGAACATACCTACGAAGAAGACGACCCTTGATTTAGGGACAATTCAGCAGGGTGAGAAGGAGGGGCTTCGTTATTACATCAGGCGGTTTAACTTGATGAGAATACGGATTCAAGGGCTACCGGATGAGGTGGCCTATACTGACTTTTTTAGAGGCCTCAAAGACGGGTCGACCTTCAAGTTTGATTTGGTTCGAAAGAGGGTGGCGACTCTTCAAGAAGCCTTGATTGAAGCAGAAGCCTATATATAGGCGACTGATTTGTGTAGTACGGGAAAGCAATTAGACTGAAAAAGGTTCGACAAGAAAGAGGGACGACAGAAACAGTCGTCCAACAAATATGAGAAAAGGAGAAAAGAGGTCTGGGCGGCCGATTCATCAAAACAGCCGGCCCAGAAGAAGAAGAAAGAATTCAAACCATACTCCCCAAAGTATGTGTTTAACAAGGATAGCCAAGCTATCCTAAAAGAAATCAAGGGACGGATCTCAATTGAGAAGCCGGCTCCCATGAAAGGTTCTGCGAGCAACCGGAACCAAGAAAAATTATGTGATTATCATGAAGATATTGGTCATCAAACCAACGAATGCATCAGTCTCATACGGTATCTGGACCGCCTGGCTGAGCAAGGCGATCTTGACTCTTATGTCAAGAAATCTAAGGGGAACATTTCCTCGAAAAAGCAGTCGGCCAAGAAGAATCAATAGGCCGACATCTCCGATACAGATGATGCAGTCGTCCACACCATTGCAGGCGGCTTCTCAGGAGGCGGCCCCACTATTAGGGGCAACAAAGATAATATCAGGCGGCTAGACGTCAATTCCGTACACCAAGAACGGCCCTCCAAATATTCATTTCTTGAAATTGTCATCATTGAAGAAGATTTAGGAGGGGTAAGGGGGCCGCATGACGACCCTATTGTTATTTAATGTAAAGTGGCCAACCAGAGAGTTGGCCGAATCCTCATAGACACCGGCAGCTCCTCAGATCTTATCAGTAGCAAATGTCTGTCAAAGCTCAAATATTAGACTGATTGCATACATCCGGTATCGCACCCTCTAATAGAGTTTGGAGGAGGAGTCGTCCACCTAGTGGGACGAGTGGATTTACCCATCCGCCTGGGTGAAAAAGGGGAAGGTCGACACATGGTAATCCGGTTCCTGGTAGTTGAGGAACTCTCGGCCTACAACATGATTCTGGGACGACCAACCTTGAATAATTCCAAGGCTGTTATTATCCCGTCTCTTATGTTGCTCAAATTCGAGAAGGATGAT